AATTAATATAATCAATGACAAAAACTTTTCTTCTAACTAACTAACATAGTTATATATTATAAAATTAATATTTGTCGAAACCCAAAAAAATTTTGACATTAACCACCAGATGGTTTGGACCTTCATTTGAAAATCTCATCACTTCGAATTGTCCGAAGACTAGACTAGTCTCCTATGTCATGGTTTTGAAAATTGTTTGAAGGAGTCATTAATGATATTTTACACAAAACATCTTTAAAAAGAAAAGTGTTTTTGCAAATTTCACTTTAGCCTTCACAACCAAAGTCGGGTTCGAGGTTGGTTACGTGTCGGGAAGGTGTTAGGTATCCCATAACGTCCGATTTTGGTACCCTATGACAATTCTAGCATTATAACGACATAGTTAAGTTTTTACCCCTTTATTTATTAAGGATACATGGCTATTTATTTCTACATGATTCCTATTTATTGCATTTTGCTTTATTGTCTACATGTGACTAGTCTAAGCATACAATGAAAGTAATAAATATGCAAAAAAGATTGAAACCTATGAAGCAAACTTTTATATTATCTTCTCCTGAACCGTACGGAGGCACTTTTTGGTAGGCTCCTTGCTCTACAAGAGTCTTTCTAACACTCAAGAATAAATTTTTGATTGGGAACTCCAAAATCTCAGCCAAAGGGACTAGAGATCTCTTAATTAGGCTCCCAATGAGTTTTTACTCAGAATGCTCTAAAAGGAGTCAAGGGGGAAAGAGAGAATGAGGTCCTCCTAAATGGGGAGAGGGGTTGACATGCTTAATTAGGTGTTAGAGGCGTGGAATGACTGTTCTCATTTTTGAACGACCATTCTCAGCCTTAAAAATGCATTGCAAACAATAGCTTGGAACGGTCGTTCCTATGCTCAGAATGATTATTCTGGTTTGGCACAGGAACGGTTGTTCTCATGGTCAAAACGGCCATTCTCAAACCATTTTTCTTAGTTATTGATTTTTCGACCCCGAAGTGTCTTACAGAGGCTTCTTGCTCCAGCTTGACGCATTCTAGAGTCTTTAATGTCTTCCATGGGCCACTGCTCTTGCTTTAGAAGCTTCCCATTTTCAGATTTACATCTTGGAAGAAAATTGGTGTCTATAGATGCCCTTCTTTACTTGTCCTTTGGATAGAAAATACCATGTGCTTTCTTTTGGGAAGGCATGTAAAGATGTAGATATATACGTATAATTCATTCAACCCTTCAAATATCTGACGCTAGCAGGTCTCTAAAGGCTAAGTATTTTGTGCAGCCTCTTTAGGCTGGGTGTAGATGTTGCTCAGCAAGATCTATTGATGTCTTGCAGCTTGAGCGATTGAGTTCATCTTTACCGAGCTTTTCCAAGCTCACTAAGGATGCTGAGTATTTTTATAAGGCCTCTCCAAGCCACTACAAGAAAAACGTAAATTTCTGACGGAAAATTTTTGACGGATATGGATCCGTCAGAAATTTATTATGGATTTATATCTCTGTTAGAAATTTTTGACAGAATTTTCTGTCAAAAATTTTCCGTCAGAAATTTCTGCCAGAAATATAAATCCATCAGAAATTTCTTATAGAAACTTTTCGACGGAAAATTCCGTCAGAAATTTCTGACGGAAAAATAATTCCGTCAAAAATTTCTAACGAAAAATTTCCGACAGATTTATTCCGTCGAAAATTTTCAATGCTTCCAAGCTATATCACTTATATTTCCAGGAACATGTTTGGGAGTCACAGGGGTACAGGAATTTGGAGTTGGATTTGAAGTCATTTTAATGATTGTCTAGATGATAAGAAATAGCAGAAGAGTTAATAATTTATGTAACAGTCTTTTAAAAAAAATAAAAGAATTAGATGACACAAATAAGTGAAAGTGTAGGCTTACGGTTACAGCAAAAATGTACAGGCTTACAGTAAACAAAATCCAATTCTGAATCAGTTTGTAACTTCTAGGGCAAGAGAGAACAAAAGCCAGGAAAGGAAATCAACATTTCACAGCCCACACAAATAGAGAATAAGAAAGGTGGAATGAAACATGAGTGTGATTGGAACTTATTAAATAGTTTTAGAAGAGTAGAAGTGACGGTAATTTATTTTTTATTCATAAAAGAGTGGCAGTCCTTGTTTTCATAAAGGGAGTGGTAGCTTCTCTGTTTTTGTAAAGGGAGAGTGGAAAGGTTTTATCTTTTTTTTAATCGATGTGGGGCAGAGGGAACCTTTAAACATTTCTTAAGTTATTGGGCTTTGGGGGAAAATAAATATGGGCTTACGTTAGGGTTTTTTTGGGCTGAAATGTGTTTTTAAATTCTGGGTTATAAAACCAGGTCACAAATCCAACCCACAAACTAACCTAAAAATAGGCTCACAAAAGAGCGCCGTTTTCGTGCAAGTTACGCTCTTGCACGTCAATCCACTACGATCTGCAAATTCTCCGATCTAGAGCAGGCGTGAGCATGGTACTGGTGAAGAAGATTGTGAACGTGTTTGATCTTACACAGCAAACCGCGATTCTGACTACCATGGTGAGAACATCCACATATTGATCTACAATTGGGACATGAATCACTTGAAATTGTTTACTTAGGACTTTCTCACGAACAAAAAATAAGTCCAATTCCATATGCTTTGTGTGAGCATGTATCATCTAATTATGAGCTAGTGAGATTGTATTGAGATTGACACAAAATCTGAGTTGTATGTGAAGTTTTATGTTCTTATAGTAAAGTTTGAATCCAAATAGCTTCAACAGTGATCGGAGCAAGACTGTGATATTCTGTCTCAATGCTAGATCTTGCAACCATCGTTTGTTTCTTGGACCATCAAGAAACCAAATTAGAGCCAAGAAAATAGATGCACCCAAGGTTGAGTGGTGGTCGTTAGGGTTCGAGGCCCATTTAGCATCACAATAAGCTTGAAGAATGGAGACTGCAATGGAGTAGGTTTTATAGAAAGGTCCCATGAGATAGTACCCTTGAGATATCTGAGAATGTGTTTAACAATCGTCCCAATATTGATCAAGAGGTTGAGCCATAACTTGACAAACCTTGTTGACAAAGAAACTTATTTCAGGTTTAGGTTTGGTAATTGAAGCATATTGAGTATGTAGACCAAACTCGCATCACTGGATTCAAAACCAGGTAGTTGAGTCATAAAAACATGATCTTCAAGAGCACCATTCAGGAAGGCATTATTAACATCAAGTTGTATCAAGGGCCAATGATTAGTTAAAGTAATTGTTTGGATGATTTGAATTGTAACATGTTTGACTACAGGGGAGATGGTTTCATTGTAGTCAAAACCTAAAGTTTGATGAAATTTCTTCACATAATTTTTTATATTTTTAAATTTATATAATATATATTTTTATATTATTTATATAAATGTGTTGTTATAGGCTATAGCGACTTCAGTTTTAGCCATATTGAGTCGCTATAGCCTATAGCGACTTTAGTTGAGACTCAACCAGCTACAGCGACTCTACAAATATGGCGTTCATGGCTTATAATCAGACTCAAAATTGCCACGTGTCACTGGTGTCGCTATGGGCCATAGCGACACCGTAGAAAATAGCCCCAAAGGTGTAATATGTTTCAAAACAACCCCATTTCGGTAATTTGTTTGTAAAACTGCTTTCCGACGGATTTTTTCGTCGAAAATTTTGACAGCAATTTCCGACAGAATTTTCTTACGAATTTTTCCGTCAGAAATTTCTAACAGAATTTTCTGACAGATTTTTCTGTCGGAAAATTATTTCTGACAGATTTTTTTTTCCGACGCCACTTTTTTCGACGGATTGAAATCCGTCGAAAATCCGTCAGAAAAAGAAAAATCCGTCGGAAATTTGCCTATTTCTGTCAGAAATTTCTGTCAGAAATCAGCATTTTTCTTGTAGTGAGCCTACTAAGTGTTTGAGTATTTCTTGAGCTCAGGTTCTCCAAGCTGGACGAGGATTGGCGATTCCTATCGATCGGTGAGTATTTCTATGCGACCTCTCTAGTCCTATTGAAGGTTTGAGTATTCCTTGAACTTAGCCTCTCTAGGCTGGACGAGGATTGACAGTTCCTACTGATCGATGAATATTTCTATGCGGCCTCTCCAGGCCTACTAAAGGTTTGAGTATTCCTTGAGCTCAGCCTCTCCAAGTTGGACGAGGATTAGTAGTTCTTGTCAACCGATGAGTATTTCTATGCAGCCTCTCCAAGTCTACTGAAGGTTTGAGTATTCCTTGAGCTCAACCTCTATAGGCTAGATGTTGGCGGTTCCTATCGATCGATGAGTATTTTTGTGCGGCCTCTCCAAGCCTACAAAGGGGTGAGTATTTCTACGCGGCCTCTCCAAGCCTACAAAGTTGAGTATTCCTTGAGTTCAGCCTATCCAGGCTAGACAAGGATTAGCGCTTCTCGTTGACCGTTTAGTATTTCTATGCGGCCTCTCTAGGCCTACAAAGGGGGTGAGTATTTTTACGCGGTCTCTCCAAGCCTAGAAAATTGAGTATTTCTTGAGCTGAGTCTCTCTAGGCAGGACGAGGATTATCGGTTCTCACTGACCGTTAAGTATTTCTACGCGACCTCTCCAAGCCTACAAAAGAGTAAGTATTTCTATGTAGCCTCTCTAGGCCTATTCAATGCACTCCATAGACTTCAGCTAGAAAATTCCCAACATCCAATCACACCCCTTATGTTAAATTCATGTTGTAGACTATTCAATGCTTAAGGAAATTCATGTTTTAGAAGATTTACATCATGGCCATGTTGAGATGCCTTAGCTATGGATCACTTACATGACCCTATAAAACATTCAGAGTCACTATGTACGTACACACTTTCTATATATTGTCACTTAATTGATTCGTGCAATTAACTGAGTATATATTATACATTTATACCATATGTTGTTGTAGTTACTTCACCTTCAAATACTTGTTCTAAAGTAACGGTGCCAATCACCACCTTAATTGAAGCAGATCTAGCAGCACTTTTAGACCAGTAAGGTCTAGATATATAGATTAGAATTAGATAGGTATTATACATACATAGTAAGTTAATTAGGTACAAATACACGTTGATCCTTACAAAATCACCTAAGTTTCAAGGTGAGCGACATAAATATCTAACAACATTGTTTGTCTGTGCCACATTATCTAATCCATATATTATATGATCGTTGATTGAAATATATACTAAAGTCAAGCCGACTTTTTTGTCCAAACACTAGAATACAAGCAGTGGATCAGGAATCAAGAGTTAGAAAATCAACCCATGAAACGTCTACATTCTCGTTGTTTTCTTCATATGGTTCTTCATAGATGATAATCATTTGTATACAACAAAAAAAGAGAGGGGTAAGGTAAACTATTATTTCATAGTATATGGTAATAGAGAATTAAGTAAATAAATTAATAAAAAGACAAATCAATGTACTCAACCATCTAACAATAATTAATTTATAATATATATATATATATATATATATATATATTTTATA